TAAACTATGAAAATTATGGGGTCAGTTTGACTTCATCTTTTTCAAAATTAAATTTTTTTAAATGTCCTTTCGAAGCAGACAACGAGATTTCAATTCCGATGACCAACAGCTTCTTACGGGCAAACCCCACACCAAAAATAGTGCCGACAGATGAACTTGGAATCAACTTGAAATTGACTTGATTAACTATTTAACTATGATGTCTTATGTTAAACAAGTTATACGGCTGGGTTCAAGTTAGTGGGTTGAAGATGGGTTCGAGTCTGATTTGGGACAAGCAATTTTGAGCTGCGTCAATTTCGGATCAGACTCGAACCTAACCTGCGAATCAGATTTGAACCCCTACCTGGACAGATGTCATCTCCAAAAAGAGAACTCGTGGATTTTGTGGCAGGTAGGAGGAACCATTGAGCACCTCTACAACTGCCGAAAGGTTTTGAAAAGAGCAGTTGTTGTAGATTTAATCACCTCGCCACATGTTCAGCTGATGCCGTCCGCTCCAAAAATGCTACTTGCCGCTCTTGAATTGGTTTCAATCTCCTGTCCATCCATTCTACCCAAGTAGTCTGCTTGGTCTTTTGATCCACACACTGCTTGTCTGACCGAAGTCTATCCATCCGGTCTTACATGGCTGTCCGTCGAATTTCTAAAAAAAATTCTCAGTATTGATATTTTGATAGTTACATCAAGTGAAAACCATTCACTGTCTAAACTTTTCAGCTGACAGTAAATGTGTGTGACACAAGCTTTGCCTAAACCAGTTGCTTCTGAAACATGGTTTATGAATAATTTCTTGTAGTACTAATGGTGAATGGTCTAAAATAGATGACATCGGGGCACAACTTTGTTTTACAATTCTACCGAGTGCTGTTATATCAATAATTTGGTGAATATCTAGCTTCACAGAAGAAATATTTATGCTATATTAGACAAAAAAAATAATTCGTTCAATTTTATTTTATTACCATAAGGTTGTGTTCTTATATGCCACAGAGATAAAGGAAGCAGCATCCAAACTTCAGGAGAAAATGCTGGAAGCCATGACTAAAATGAAGAAAGGTGCAGGAGGAGGGCTAATAAACATAAATATGTTGAAAGAGGGTATCTGGAAACAGGACGAATGTATTACTCTGCCTTGTACTGTGCTTATTAGTTTTTAGCATGAGTGTTTGAAATCTCTAATACTATGATTTACCCTGTTTTATTTCCACAGACCTTTCAACAAAGCTCGAAGAGATCCATGATGTTGTACAAATTCTGAAAATGTGAGCTTCCTTCTGATTTTCCAGGTTTTGCTGTTTTGCCATTTTGGAATTGATAGTTCTTTTATATATATATATATATGAAACGTGAGATTCGCTGTTTTTTACTGTATTATTCATTGTTATGAATAGGCTATTGTTGTGAAAAAAGTTTTAGTAGAGGCTGTAGATAAAGCTTTTAAAATGTCGAAATGAAGTTGTTCAGCAACATTGTGGCATGATTGTTCTGTAAAACTAAGTAAAATTAAGTATTTAGGCTCAGCTTAGTGAATTATCATTTATTTTCTTCTTATTTGTATTTGTTGTGATGTGTGATTTATTTATTTGGATTTTGCGCTATTTTATGCACCTTACTTCTGTTCTATCTAAAATTCTTGTCCATTTCCTAGAAGTTATCAAATGGATCAAAATTATTGAATTTGAAGGAGGTTTAATGAGTTTGAAATGATAGCATGAGAAATAATGATATTATATTTTATTGAATTTAAAATTGTCCGTGAATCACACCCACAAAAGAGAGCGTGAAAGGAGTGTAAAGACAAATGGAGAGAGAGAGAGAGAGAGGAGCTATATCAGGAGCTATATCTTTAGGATTGAGCAGTAAAATTGTGCCAACATCTTCATTAAATGTTTACCTCTATTTATAGAATTTTTAGTACAATAATAAATTTACATTTTTGCCCCAATCTTGGTGGGGTTTAAATTGGGATTTAAGGTATTTCATAAATGACTACTCATTATCTGGTCATTTTTGGCTTGATTATACTAGCTCGGTTGTGTGAGCTTGGTTGCTCAGTTCAGTCGATTATCATTGTTAGTATGACTTAGTTGACCTCACTCACTTGGTCGAACTTGATGGGCTCAAAGATCTTACTTCTAGCGAGAAGACTTTTGGTCTTTACTAGATGGTTGGGGATGCTTCGTGGAAATGACCTTTCCGTCCTGTCGTCTCTCTTGCGGGTCTTACATTGATCTAGTTTTCTCTTGGTTAGAGATATGAACGTTCTTTTGGTAAGATTTCGGGTGAACTGTTTGATTGGTACCTGTCGACCATCCTCACACTAGTTTTTGACTTGATTGGCTTGGCACGACTGACTTAGCTGGCTCTACTGGTCCCACAATCTTTTTGTAGGGGATCTTCTTTCATCATGCTTCCTTATTCTGAACCGTTGGATCCTTATGACATCATGATTGAGACCTTTTTTATCTATATATTTTAGTTACTCGATTCTTTTACTTCTTGAAAGCCACGTTGTGATAAGAATAAAAGAATGCAAAAGCATATCTCATTCAATTATAATTAATGACTAAATGATTGAACTCTCTTGATTTTAAAGCTTCCAATTTCTATAAATAAGGTGATGGGACGCTCTCCCATGCCTCTGTGCTTTTCTTTGCTTGAGTAGATCGCCTCTCACACTCTGGTTTGGTCAAACCATAAACAAATTAAGTCACAGACCAATGTTCTCACAAAGAATTTGATCTGTTACATTTTTGGAAAAGCAAAGGGATGGGATCACTCATTGGGTGAGAGGAAGAAGAAGTTGCCGTGAAGAGGAAGAGGCTTCAACTTCTGTCGTCAAATCAGTTGGGGTCGTTTGATTCGATTCTAGGCGTAACTCTGAAGAAAGTTGGCAAAATACCTTGATTCTTGATCCGACTACTCATCCACCTATTGTGGTGCAAGATCTTTTGATCGATCAGACTATTGAAGTAGTTTCATTTGTCCTTCTGCAACTTTCAGCACTGCTTGCTGGCGAGCTTACCATGTCGCTTACAATGTCTGAGTTGATTTGGTTCATGGTTATGAGGGACTTGCGTCTTATATTTGTGGGGTTCGATCTCTTAGGTTTTGGTTTAGAATCTTTTTACTTATGATAATTCCGACTCCCTTCAAATCCAAATGAGGGATCAACTGAATTGCTGAGGAGCGTGGAGGAAGCATTAAGCGAGAATGCGAGGATTGTGGGTTGACAACCCTTTAACACTCCACTTCCCCCGAGACATGCGTGAAAGTTGTCGAAAGGATACACATGTCTCATCGGTCGCTAGTTTGTCATCTGAACGAGATTGAAAGTTTATTTATTTGGTTAGACATGATCCTTCGGTATGATCTTCCACTCACCATCATCACATGTAACATAATACAATTTATTAATCAAGGAGTGAGAGATTTATGCCAAAGCCAGAGAATATACTTAAGATTCACATTTGTCCACCATTCGCGGACAAATGGGTAAGACAAAGCAACAAGTAAGGTAAAATTGAATTTGAGAACCAAAGGAAATTGGGCTGAAATTTTACCATCAATCTTTTGGGCAATTTAGACAACCCCTTCCATCACGACCGTGTAGATCCCATTTATGTTTTCGCACGGAATAGAGGTCCAAGGACTGACTTGACGTATCGGAGGTAAAAAGAAGGATGACTCGGTACATAAAAACATATCAGAGAAAAGATTTTCACCATCATAAACCTCTTGTTGAAGAAAGTCGACTTGGTGGCGTGCGTACGGGGGTAGGAAAACTGGATCAGACATGGTCTGGGTTGTTTATCTTCAGTAAACGAGTCGCTCTTCGACCACAAGCTAAATATGTATAAAGGAAAGGAAGTACCCCACCCTTGGAGTGGGGACAACTTAAAATTTTTTTACTCATAATAATGTATCTATATAATTATAAGAAATGAAGGATAAATTTTGGGGTTTTATCTTTACTCGTCAAAATTCAAATGATACATCTGAAATTTTTTTACAATAGATGACTTCAAGCCCAACCAACATTCGAGTAACTCACCTGAAGTTAACTCAAAAAACAATCAAATCTGATCAATACCCGAGGAACAAAGGTTTATCTGCCAACAAGATGCTACTCGTATGATTGGAAATTCACCTATCTGACCCGCAACACTCACGTGTCATAAAATTCTCATGTCTCTTATCTTGTAATACATGTCGAACACTAGCGGTCAGATTTCCCACTCATTCACGATAAGATCCATAGTGGGTAGCACACGAATCAACCCAATATCAAGTATGGACGGTTACCCCAGTGTAGACTACAACAAGATACAATTTATGTGTCTGATGTAAGGTACGACCAATCTAAGACAATGAATTAACCGAATGATTGAGACGTAGGTAGTGTAAGATACGAGCTGGGCGATAACACACTAAACTAACCAAGAATATTCTCCTCATCTAATGACCCATCAACTTTATTATCACAATTTCTCCAATTCACTAGTTATCCTATCATCTTCTCTCACAGACGGTCGACCTCCCTCGCCACATCAACACTCACCTCAGGTATATATATAAAAAGGAAAAAAAGAAAGAAAAAAAGACTTTCAATGTACGACCTACCAACAAATTCTTTTTTCTCATTCATAATCAATAATGACTTAAAAATATTCTTACAAGTGTTTATTAAAAAAAAAAATTAAGAGAATTGTGGAGGAGCCATGATTGCCCTACACGTTGGATGACCCGCCATCATCCCAACCACTTCCATCATATTTGTCACCCTCTTCCTCCTCGGGCTTAGACTCAGTCACCAACGTTGAAAACTTCTCTAGACCAATCCACTCTGAGAAAACCAGCCCTTCCTTAACCATATGGCTAACACCATACGAGTCCCCTTCCTTGAGCTTCTCAACAACGAGAACCTTCTTTGTAGGGTAAGAAGAAAGCTTGACCAAGAAAAAAGAAAAAAAAAAAATTATTTGGGCGTCTTCATCATTGCCATTTGTTCCTTTAGGACTGGATTTTCTTCTTTTATGTTTGTGAGCAACTTTGATTGCCTGAGTCAGTTTTCAACCTCTCTTCTATCTCTACAAACATTTACTCAAGTTCCAGCTGAGCACGTCACACCTAACGAAGTATGGCCAATTGAGTAATAGAAACTTGCAAAGCCATTGCCTGGAACCAATCGATTGTTCGACACATGCCTATTAAGCTCTTCCAAAGAAGAGTCGTCAAACTCAACGACCATATCGTCTCAACTATTGTGTAAGCATAGAGAGTAGCCTTCAAAGGCTTAAAATACCAGTCCTTATGAAGGTCAATCAAGGTGAATCTGATGCCCTGACTGAGTCTCACTTTGACTTGGATCCTCTGCGATTCTTTCGAGATGAAAGAGGAGGAGATTTATCCTTAGCATCCACCTCTTGGATGCGCTTTCGATGAGACTACCGTGACTCGTCTGTCGAACCAGTCGCAAAAGACTTCCCTTCGCGGTGGCGCTCCTCTTCAAGTCAAGATGGCTCTGACAGGTTCAGGTTCTCCCCGCCAGATGTTTGATCAATAATTAGGCCCATCGGTGAAACTTGTTCGTATCGACGAGGATGAGGCGACTGGCCTTGTCTCTCATGAACAAAGACAAGAATCACAAAGGCCCCAGTCGAGAAATGATTGGCTCCATCACTTGTCCTCCCACCGAGACTTCCTTATCATGACGACCCAACCCCTCTAGGCTCGTTGTTTTCTCGACGTCAGATTGGTCGCGCCATGGGAACCTGCAAATGGAACAAAACATTTATCTTTTTCTCAGCAACTCAATCTCTTGATCTGAATTAGCTCATATGTTCCGACCCTATGAGAAAAAAAATAGTAGAAGGAGAAATCAAGTAAATGAGATCAACACCTGCTAAAGCATAGGATCCCATTTCTTGAGCAACCACCTTTGGTGTCAGATGTTTCTTTGCACTAACAACGGTCGAGCGTGCCTTTTCTTTTGCAGTCCAGCGAGCAACGCTTCCTCCCTCTAAACCTGGCGGGCGTCAGAGGCCTTCCAATCCTCTTCAATCATTGCATCAAAGATGTTTGGCCGCAACACCTTGTTGACTGGAACAAACTTCAGGTATTGTTGGACCGACAACTTGGTCCCCTTGACCTTAATTGCCTCCAGTAGTACTTTTGTTAGCGCTTTTGCCTTTACTTTCGGTGGAGCGTCACTAGACGGAACTGTCAGACGAACCTCCCCCGCGGAGAGGATGCCACGCAAAATCTTTGCATCCAATCCTTTACCTTATTTTCCAATCCTAGTAGCTAAAATTTGTCTACTAATGAAAATTGGACGAATTTGTTTGGTCCAATCGAGAATGAGAATATGTAGTTGAATAGGTCAATCGATCACCATACCTTTTAGGATGTTAAATCCAAAATTGTCCGTGAATCACATCCAAGAAATAGAGCATGAAAGGAGAGTGAAAGGACAGAGGGAGAGAGAGTGGAGTTAAAATCTCTAGGATGAACGGGAAAAATTGTGTAATCCTCTTTATTAAATGCTACCTCTATTTATAGATGTTTTAGTACAATAGTGATATTATATTTTTTTATTCCCATCTAGGTGGGGTTTACATTAGATATTCCAGGTATTTCATTAATGACTATTCATTATACGGTCGTTTTTGGCTCTATTCTGCTAGCTCGGTAGACAAAGTTTGTTCAGCTCAGCTCGGTAGATTATCTTGGTTGGTAGGACTCAATTTGCCCAACTCACTTGATTGAACTTGATGCACTAAAAAGTCCTACTTCAGTCAAGAAGAGGATGCTTTATGGAAATGCCCCTTCCGTTGAGTCGGCTTTCATGTAGGATAAACTTCCACATTGAGTCAGTTTTCTTTTGGTTCGAGATACATGCACTCTTTTAGTGAGCATTTAGGTGAGCTGTTTGGTTGGTACCAGTTGGCCATCCTCATGTAAGTTTTTGACTCGGTTGGCTTGACTAGTCCCGTGATCTTCTTGCAAGGGATCTTCTTCCTTCATCATGCTTACTTATTCCGAACCATTGGATCCTCGTGAGATCATCACTCATCTCACACCTTTTTAATGTGCACATTTGAAGTTCAATGTGAAAATGTAAAGACATAAAAAGAGTTGATATCTGATCTAAAAAAATAACTGGAAACCGGAGACGTTGTATATTTTCTTATAGCTCTTGTTGCTATAATTGCGTATATTTGACATATATAATTGTAATTTTCTTTGACTTGCGAGGAAAAGTGACAAAATATCTTGATATTATTTTTTGATTTTAACCAAAAAAAAAAAAAAAATCTAAATAGCCAATGCACAGCACAAATGTTAACTTATACTTTCTCATTACTATCGTCTTGTTGGTTAATAGTCTCAATAATATATTAATTAGGAAAATTTACGTACAAATCCACTTAATTCTCATGTATTTGCATATCTAACACCTAAACTTCAATTTGCACATTTATGCCACCTTGCTTATGCAAGAAAATGTGTGTTTCGTTTTTTTAAGTTAAAATAATGGTAATTTTTAAAGTGACATGAAAGATTTGGGTGATGTAAATGTAAATAGTAGAGTTTAGGTGTTCGATATGTAAATATATAGGAATTGGGGGGGTATGCGAGTACATGCTTCTATTAAATAATAATTGATGTTAATCAACCTGTATTCAATATGTACAATTCATTTATAATTTACCGAAGAATGAAAGTTGAACAATTTCCGCATTTGTTAATATAGTGCTCATGATTCATGAATTATTTAAATTATTGTGTAAGTGGATGGGAAATGATGCTCTGTTTGGCTTGAACACAGTAAAAATGACGTCTGGGTGTAGGTTCAAATAAGTAAAGTTTCTAATAGTATGGACGAATGCACAAGAAAAAAATATCCCATGAAACAACTACGAGACCACGAACTTGGACTCTATGTACTATCTCAGGTAAATTAATAGAATTAGTAGATATTATGGTTCATCGAAAGATATATATTTTATGCATTCAAGGAACTAACTAGGTTTTGGAGAAAACGATAAAGAGATTGATAGCTTAGGCTTTAAACTTTAGTATTCAGGTAAGAGTCGCATTAGAAATGAATTAGGTGTAATCATATATAAAATTTTTGAAAGATAATGTTATAAAAATTAATAGAATTGAGTAGAATTATAGCTTTAAAAATTTATGTTTATACTAAGATTTTTACTATTACAAGTGCTTATGATCTTCAAGTAGGTTTAGGTATAGATTTAAAAGAAAAATTTTGAAATGACATAGAAGAATTAATATAACTTAATAAGAGTTCTTACATAGCAACAACCAAAACCATTGAATATTTCATTTTAACCGCCCAAACTTTAAATATAACATTTTAACCATTTTTATATATGTGTATAAATCAACCAAAACAATAAACATACAAGAAAGTCTCTAGCTCAGAGTTATATATATATATAAAGTTTGTATTAAATAAAAATGCTGTGTTTTTTTTAGAATAAGCAGATTTAATTATTTTTATTCTAATAACATATCAATATTTAAATTTTAATTTAATTTTTAAATCTTTTTTATTTATATTAAATTAACTTTTTAGTTATAATTTATATTGAATTTTAAGTGAATATCTAGCTTTAATCAAACATCTTAACAACGTTTATTCATGAGGTTTAAATAAAATTACTTATTTATTTATATTATTTTTTTATATATTTTAATAGACGGTCTAAAAATAAATTAATTTGAAATTAAATTTTAATAATATTTTATTTAAATTATTTATATTTTTAGTTGTAATTTATAATGGGTTTTTAACTCGCAATTATTTAATATTTTATAATATTTAAAAGGTAATTAATTTAAATTTCTTATACATTTTAAAGTATATGATTTTTAAATAATATAATAAATAAAAATATGTCCATCATGTGCATTTAAATAAATTCACAAGTCTTAAATTAATTGGGTTTAAAAATATTAAAGAATTTTCTTGTTATATTATCCAATAAAATGATTATATTATTGATAATAAACTGGTTATGTTATTATTCTAAGTAATTATCTTTTAATATATTTTTATAGTATATTTTTATCGATTTAATATTAAAATTAAAAAAAAAAGGATCAATAATGTTAGTTTTAAATATATATTAAAAAAATTGAATTTATTCAATAACTTAAAAATTTGTCCCCATTAAGAAAAAAAAAAACTTTTTTGCCTGCCCCTGTCTTAGAAATGTTGTTAAATGTAGTTAATATTAGATATCCTCATCACTTTGGGAGACTAAATTATACCAAGACAATTTACATTATTTGATTTTATTTAAATTTGACTTCTTGTGAGTATTTTATATAAGTTTATATAAAAATTTTCATCTCACAACATACAATTGTGTCACAACATTGATCACATTCTTAAACATATTTGAATTCCATCTAATTAAAATTCTCCCAATACATTAAAAGATTAATCTAAACGAATTGTTTAATAGTATGACCCTTCATGTGATACTTGGAAGTAATCATCAAAGTGTTAGTCAGTTCATCTTAGACATGCCCTCATCGTTGCGTAGCTTGGTACTTGGAATGAAAACTACGACCATTTATTCATATTTGATTAGTGGTTGACTTAGGTTGACATTTAGAGTTTCTAACCTTGTTCTAAGTGGACAAGGGCCTATTTAGTTAGTTTGTGAAGAAAAGGTGCATGCAAAAAACCCTATAATATTTCTTAACTCAAAATTTTTGTGGTAAGCATCCTTAATAATCTGAACGTTATATAAATACATTTCTATCTTTATGTCATGGAAAACCTTGTTGATAAATTTGTTACTTAACTACATGTTATTCTAAGAACTATGGTAATTATGTCAGAATGCACATGTATAACACGTAAGAGACGAACACTAGTTAAAGCCACATACAATTATGACCAAGTTGGAATATTTTACATATGAGCATTGCAATGAAAGATGTTTTTTGTGTAGAGAGATGCACAAAGTTTAATGGATATTGATGAATAAGTGACTAAGGAAATCAAATACATATGTGGGCTTGCAATCATGTGACATCAGAGCTTGTGTGAATTAAATGAGACTTTTGCAATGATATCAAAATTTTGATGAAAGTCTTGCACTTCAAAATTATTCTAAATACATATTGTTTTAAGTATGAATTTATATCAATTCTATCTGTCATGGACATAAATTTGAATATTAAAATTAGAATTGCAGGTATGAAAGTTTTAACAAGCATTTTCATATTGGAATTCAAACCTAAATGCACTGCTCAGCAGAAATCTAACAATTGAGCCCCAACTAAAACAATTATTTGATTTTACTCAACACCTCACGTACAGATATATTTAACGGACTAGTAACACGTGCGGGACGTAGAACCTGCACGTACTTTCAAGTGCACCCAATGTTTCAGTCACACGCCGCATCCTTACTGCCACGTATAATAATTTCCATGTGGATTACGGTCAATGGATCGGTCTGAATTTGTACAAAGCTAATTTGAAAGAAGTAACGGGCGATTTAACGGCTATTTTCCGATACTGGGTAATTTAACGGGGCGAGGAAATTCTAGATCAAGATCAGACGGTGGTGGGATCGTTTCACCGTGAAATAGTACTTCGTGGCCTCGTTCTACTGTGAAGAAAATGGGCCGACGGATGTGAAGAACGTGGTTGAACTTAAGCCGTTGATTTATGCCCTTCGCGCCTTTTATGAGGTATAAAAGCTTCTCTTCTCTCTTCTCCCGCCGTTCTCGCCGTCACTTTCCTCCCGCGGACTAGGGCTTACTTCGTCGCCTTCTCCGACATCCTCCATTGATTTTGAGGTAGTTTCTTCTTATCTGTACCGATACCGCGTAGTTTTTGAAGGGAAGCGATCTGTGGAAAGATTTTTTTTAATTATTTTTTTGTGTTTTTGGATTTTTGGATGAGTTTTCACACTTTTGATTTCCGCGTGTTCTGATTCGAGATCGTGTGTTTTTATTTATGGGTTTCTGGATTTGAGAACGGAAAAACTTTTAGGCATCACCCACAACGTTTACGACTTTCAATCGATGGGGTTTTCTTTGATTAGGGTTTATTTGATTCATCTTCTTGCTTTTACGTTTTAGATTTCCTTCTTCGGCTCTGCTAATGTTTGCATTTTGTAGGATTGAATTTGAAGACAGAATTGAGAGATGATTTTTGATGAAAGGGATAAGATTTCAGCAGATTGCTTCATGGAAATGGAGCATGTAAGTGGGCTTGAGATAATTAACGAAAAGTTCGAATCCCCTTCTTCAAAATCTTCCTGCTTGGAGGATAAAAATGATCTGGAGGTGAAGGATTCTTCATGCCAAGTTTCCTGTCTAGATAAAGGCCAGGAATGCGAATTCAAAGATGTCCTGCCATTGCGGCCGGTGAAGTTGAGCTTGTTTGATTCTTCGATTCATTTCCAGAATGACGGATTAACTGAAACCTCTTCTTCATCATCCGATCAAACTGAGGATGAAGAGATGATTTCAGAAATTCAGACTCCAACTAAAACGATATTCGATCCTTTTGCTCCGGGTGCAGATGATTTAATGCTCGCGCCAAAGAAAAAGAAGTCAAGGGATTCGTATGCTCCTCTTCGGAGGCGGTTGAATTTTGATGCTGACAGTGACTCTAATCAAAATGCAGCAGGTGATCCATTGAAGGATTTTGATGAAGAGGAGCTGCAATTTTGGGAGTCAATCTCTAATTCTTTGTTTGAAATGATCATCTCGAGTCAACTCAAAGAGATTTCAGATGAGGCCATGGTGGCAGATTCTGATTATCTCGAAGGCTGCCAGACACCTTCATCGTCTCCATTGTTGTCTGGTGTTGCAGAAACTTGCCCACCTGCTCCTATGAGACCAAAATTGATCTTAGGGAAACAACAAAGCGATAAACTCTGTAGAAAGCTGGACTTTGGAAGCAATTTGAGCTGAACATTCAGTTGTGGTGCAAATCAGTTAATGGCTGCATAATTGTGTGGATTAACAAATGCTACTGGTTTTTCTTTACTAATGATGATTCATGGAGATCTAGTTTTTTAAAGTTTTGTGAGAGGTGGTTGAATCAGTATTTGGTAAGGTTTAAGTGCTAAATTATGGGGGATTAATTATTGTTTCTGGTTTTGGTTACTAAACATGTGAAGATCTATAGTAATTGTTTCTATGTAACTTGTGTATTTGTTAGACTCATTGTGATGTTTAAGTATGTATGAGAGATAGGAGGATTTTGTGGATCATTGTAATTATTCTCTTATGAGTTTTCTAGTGCAAAATATCAATGTCTTAAATTTTAGAGATTTGTATTGACAAAAGTTTTCGACTTTATGTTAGTTTTGAGATATGAGGTAAGGTTTTGTGTAGATTTCTCATGCATTACACTCATCTAATAAAAATCAAGAACTTATATTTTCATGAATAAATTTGCACCATTTTTTGGATTTCAACTTTAAAATTTATTAATTTTCTTGTTTTTAATATTCATCTTTTTAGCTCAACTCGAGTTAAAAAAATATTCATCTTTTGGAAATTTTTTTACATAGCACACAATTCTTATATGTTTACATATATTATATCTAAACCTTCATATTAAAACACAAGGAATAAAAAAAAAAATATTAGTAGGTGAGACATAAATCTTGGATATAAGTTTGCAACATCGAAACAAGCATGAAAGTCTTGTTTTAGTCAGATCTTGTTATGCTATTCAGATTATTTAATGCCTCAATCATTTTTTAAAATATCATGAATAAAATTTTAAAGCATTACATTTGCATATTTGTCAGTATTTTTTTTGATAATATCATTTTGTTCAACCAATGATTTGATGATCACATTCCCCATCATAGTGTAATTCTTTAGCCTTTCAAAATTAATACATTCTTAAAGAAAAAAAAAAAAAACAAAATGTGCTTTTGATCATCATTTTATCAGTTATCTTGGGCATATTATGAGCAATATGTCACACACTCCGCCAATTTTAAAGAAATTGACAAGACAACGTTGTGATGAATGATTCTAGAAAAGACCAGATGGAGGAGAGCAATCCAAGTAACTCTAGAAAACTCCATCACATTCTATAGAATATTAGAATGAAAAGCTCCAAGGAGAACTCAAGAATAGCCTAGAAAGATCTAGGGTTGTGTATGTATATAAGAGAATTGTGTAGAACTATCTAGAAACTTGACAATTCTAATGTACTTTAGAAGATCCTTTAGACTTGGAGGGGGCTATAAATAAAAGCATTCAAGTGTTGTAATCACTCTTTCTTAGTGAAAGGTTTCTTTCTCCAATACTTCTTCCTACTATTCTTCCTAGAGTGTTTTGTGCTTACAAGCCCAAGCACTGTGAGGGTTAGACTGATTTTGTGTGAAGGAAGAGCACTAAAGCCGCACAGGTGACTTGAGATAAGTTAGTCCGTGACAGTTGGTATTAGAGTCAGGTTTCAAAGGTAGAACATGTAATGTAATCTGAAGCCACTATTATGGAATCATCTCAACAAGGGTGAGGTTATCAGGAGCAACGGGATCCAACTGCATCCGAGCCACATGGGAGGTCTAAGGAGATCATGCACTACTTTGGTTCAAGTCTTGCTCGGGTGGAGGAGACAATGAATGACATGGAGGCCTAAACAAAGGACCTTGGACAAAAGGTAGATGGAATCGAGGAGGAGGACATCAAAATCCATTTCGACGATCAATTCACATGAAACTATGTCTGGTAAAGCAGAAATTAGGTTAATCTTTAGCACCCCTGATCAAGGAATGTTGAGATTCACATATTATTTGTCAGGGCCATGCACATATAATGAAGCAGAATATGAAACCCTGCTCACAGGCTTACACTTAACAATTGCAATGAAGATAAAAAAGATCAAGATTTTCAGTGATTAATCAAGTTGTTGGAAAATATCAGACATTAAAGCCCAAGCTCCATCAGTATCATCAATACACAATGAAGCTGCTTGAAAAGATAATATATGTTACTATATGCAGAATTCCCTGTGGTAACAACACTATTGCACATGCTTTCGTAAAATTAGCTAAATAAATGTTTTATTTGGAAGAAGAATCTATTCCAATCAAAGTTCAAGGTTGTCGGGTCCTCTCCCCCATCAATATGAAATATTTGAGTAAAATAAAATTTGAAGAGCACGTCGCCACAACAACACTTAAAGAAGGTTCAAATTGATAAAGTCCTTTTGTTGATTACCTGCGTGAAGACAAGCTTCCTAAGGATAAATCCCCCACTTATCAGTTAAAAATGAGAGCTTTATATTCCACACTCTTAAACAACACACTTCACCAAATATTCTTCGATCATATATGGCTACGTTGCTTAAACAAGCAGGAAACCAGACGATAGTTAAAGAGGTACACTTTGGGTTATGTGGTGCTCACCAACTAGGCCCCAAAATGAAAGTATAATTCAAAAGAATTGGAAATTATTGGCCTAAGATGATCACAACTGTATGGAGACTACCAGATGTGGCTACCAGTGTCAAGTGCATGGTGTGGGCTTACATCAGCCGCCTAAAATACTAAACTCTATAGTTACTTCTTGGCCCTTTGAATGCTTGGGTACAAACATAATAGGGCCTATTGACCCTCCCTCATCGAAAGAACATAGACTTATATTAGTTGCGATAGGTTGCTTCCCTAAATTGACAGAGGCCGTAATGTTAAGAGAAGTCAAAGCCCACCATGCACTCCAAATTCTTCAAGCACCATTTTGTGTATAAATTCAATTTCTCTTGCCGTATCATATATGATAATGGTCCTGCTATCAAAAGTGCCAAGATCAACAACTTCTTGACTTAGCACAATATTGACTAGGGCTATTCCACCATCTATTGCCCTCAGATCAATGGATTAGATGAATCTTTCAATAAAACTCCAGTCTAAATTTTGAAGATGTTGGATCAAAATAAAATGCAATAGAACAAATTGTTATTAGAAGCACTATGGGCCTACCCGACTTTACAAAGGACTCCGACTCACCTACTCCCTTTCGTTAATTTATGAGACCAAATACGTACTTTTTCTACAGGTTCAGCTTCGTTCACTGAGAACTGCAACATGCTTAGCAAACCCTCCAGAATAGAACAACCGGCTATGAAAAGGACTCAAGGGGCTGCATGAAGCTCGTTTGATAACAAAACAAAATCTCGAGTTGTACCAGTCATGCATGATTCAAGCAAATGATAATTTGTTTAGGTCCCAAACATTTCATGTAGGAAAACTGGTTCTAGTTTTCAAGAGACTGATTCTAACTCCCCGAAAAGTCAGCAGTAAATTATTTTACACTAAGTAAACTAGATAATATATAAATTTCAAGCAAATTTTGTTTCCATTAAATAATATAAATTCTTACTAATAAACTAACTTATTGTAACAAGAAAATGAGAAGGAATTGTATTAAATTAATATACATATCCGACATTAAATTATAATATATTATTATGTACTTAATACTCATTTTTAAAATATTATTGATATTAAATATAAATATATTGAATTTAGATATATAATAAAATAAAGTATAGCAAATTAATTTTTATTTAAATAATATATCTTATATGATATGTGCTATTATTGATCTGTTTAATATTTAGCATTCAATAACTTATTTGTTGATTAACAAATAGGTTTATTGATTAATATAAATAAATTCATATTATTATGTTTAAGTTTAATTCATTTATCTATTTCATTGTTCCAAAGAAAAGGGTGCCTCGAAGTTTCTGAAATCTCAGTTTTAGCTATATAACGTGCCGTTCAAAGATATGCATAGAAGAAATAAGGGTGTAAACGAGCCGAACAGGAGTGAGCCCGGACTCAATTCGTGTTCAGCTTGTCAAAAAATATTACTGTTAGTGCTCAACTCGTTTGTATTTCGAACAAAAAAAAAATTATTCGTGTTCAGCTCGTTTGTTTAGCAAGCCGCATGCGAGCTGCTCGTGGACAAAGATCGTTTTGACAACAGTAATCACGCAGCTGTTAGGCCAAGCTTAAGTAAGCTCAGACTCAATTTTTGTTTGAGTGTTAAAATATATCATTGTTCGTATTTGACTCGTTTATATATAGAGCTCAAAAAATTTATTTGTGTGGCTTGTTTGTGTTTAGAATTTTAGGGTAAAGAAAAGCAAGAATCGACACAAATCAGGAAAGAAACACAGAGATTTAACGAGGTTCGGCAAAGATGCCTACGTCCTCAGGAGCAGAGCGGCTAATTTTCCTTCAATTCAGAAAAAAAAAATACAAGATGCCTAGGGTTACAAACAAGACATATATATAACTCTAGCGTACAATATGTAATTACAAAATTACCACTGTATCGTATGGCGGGGGAGTTGCCCCCGCACCCCAACACACATAACGAAACTCTCCCGATTGGACAGATGCTTTCGCTCCGCTGGCTCGTTTTGTACAGCTACAACATTTGTCCCTTATCTGGTATATGAGTCATATCTAATAGTTTGCTTATTGAGTCGAACACGAGTTGTTCACGATCAATGAACCATTTTAACAATCTTAGTCACACAACCATAGGATGTTAGGGGTTAGGCAAGATTTAAATTTATTATTTATATTAAAATATTCATTAAAATATAGTTTAGTATATTTTGAATTAGTAATTTTAATTGATTATAATCTTTATAGCTTTGTAGTTAAATAATTAATTAAATATAACATTCCATATATGTATATATATATCTATGTGTGTGTGTGTGTGTGTGTGTGTGTGTGTGTGTGAATTTATGTATGTATGACTGTATAAAGCTAAAAAATACTTAAGCAATAATCAATTGTCGCAGTCAGAGCAGCTCATCCTCAAAACCAATTTGTTAGAGAAATTATTTAAAGTTTGAACAAAACTCAAAAAAGCCAAGAACATATAAGTGTATTTATATGATCACTTTTTTATAGCACGTTAATAAGGACATAGCACTTGACTCTAAGCCAAGTTTTTAACATGATTGCAATAGCATAATTATATTATGGTATAGCTTAAATTTAGATGTTCTCAAACTCTGTTTAAAAAAGCGTCTTTGGGTCGCGCCCCAGGTCTGGGAGTAAGGCCTTTCTCCCCAAGCCCACTAGGGGGGCCTAAATTGCGTGGGGCTTACGCCCGGGAAGAACCAGAGCATAACATGTGCCTCACAGGCGTATGCCCGCCTCCGATTCGTGCTTCTTTCGCAGGCTCGTCGTCTTCGTCTCGCACGCAGGCTTGGATCAAGCTCATCTATGTTGAGCTTC